TCTTTTGAACTCTTAATCACACATTGAATTGATTTGCAGTTTATATTTCACAACACTTTTCTCGCATTCACTGGTATTTTGAACGCGAAAACTGTTTTTTGAATCATTTTATTCAATATCGCAATCCGTTTGAATGCATGCCTATTAGGCCTAACTGTTTGACTACTGTTTGGTACCTTTAGTACTAATCAACGCTACTATACTATACAGTAGTATAGCGTATGTATTAGTGTTGTATACAATGGTACCAAAACTTCGTTATACGGTTGCGATTTGTAGTTAAGCTATTCACCTGACGATAGCGATACTCGCCTTCTGATTGGTTGCCACAAATGTATTGCATTTTTAAAGGCACTGCGAGTGTAGCTCTCAAACGCATACAACGTTACGTGAATTGCAGTGCTTTATAATCCCCGTCACTCTTAACGCCAATACTGTTTAATACAAATCAATGTTTACAACTTTGGCCCCTAAACTGTGTTCACACACGTCTGGCGTTACGTTATATGTGGGCGAAAATAGTGTTGTTATTTTCAATAGCAATCAAAAGTGTTGTTTACTTACAATCAAAACAACAAAAAACGGTTTATAACCCGAAAACCGAAACCCAATTAATACCCAAAACTGGTTTTGGAGTCAAATCACGTGACGGATTGGTTGAGACCATCGGATCCGATGAGCGAAGAAAACACTCCTCCAAACAAAGACAAAGACAAACGCCGGACAACAACCACAACAACAACAACAACACCGACGATGAAAGTGAATATCAAAAGTAAGTGTCGCATAACTATACACGTGATTATCATCTGAACTGATCCATTGATTACCTCCGTATAGGCTGGACATCGGTGGCCACGTGGCGCTGGATCGCCAACGACGACAACTGCGGCATTTGTCGTAACGCGTTTGACGGCTGCTGTACGGACTGCAAAATGCCCGGCGATGACTGTCCGCTGGTGTGGGGCCAGTGTTCGCACTGTTTCCACATCCACTGCATCATGAAGTGGTTGAACTCACAGCACGTGCACCAACTGTGCCCGATGTGTCGCCAGGAGTGGAAGTTTAAGGAGTAGTAGTATTGGTGGTGGTAATGGTGTGGACAACAGTACCCGTTGGCCGCCATCACCAGCTCGTAGTCCACACCCGCAGTCCACCCGATTGCGATGGTGTGTGGCTTTAGTTGTATATATCGGGCCATTTGTTTGGGCTTTTATTTGTTTGTATATATGATTACGTAATTTGGGATATCATTGATTGGTTACAATAATTATGTGACGATATTTTTTAATTATTAAATTAAAATTAGTATTAAAATTTAATACCTTTATTTTTTAGTGTTTAGTGTTTGTAATTTGATTTGTAATATGACTTTCAATTAAAATTTGTATTTTTAATTACTATTTTAATAGTTAATTGAATTGTTATACTATTTTCCTCAACACTTAAATTATGAATTTATAATTGATTTAAATTACCATAAGTTGAATGTTTTTATTATTGATAGACTTGTATTGACAGACAGTATCTGATGATAATCTTATGACTAAAAAAATAATTAGAAATATGTTTTGAAATTAATTGCATTTTTTAGATAAACATCTCTCAATATGAGTGTTAATTAAATTGCAATTTAATCACAGCTTTAATGATCTGACAGACGGTTTAAGCGATAAATATATTTTGAAACCAAATACTCGTTCCCGGAATGACTCCATATTATATGTAAATCTTATTTTAATTTTTATTTAATTAGTTAATGATTTCTTTCAATCGGATGTTAAGCTAATTACACATTTGATTGAAAAGTTAGACTTTCAATACTTCGTGCCTTAAAATGGATTTGATATTTATTTGATCAAAGCTTTTACTGATAATTGTATCGAAAAAACTAAACACTTAACTCACTAGTCATGGATATGGTCTGGTTTTCTAACAATTCATACATTAATTCAACGAAATATAAATTCTTCGCCGAACTCAAAGACATGGAAGCGATTCCATCGAAGTATCAGATAATAGTGATATTGTTGTACACAATAACAGCTTTGTTTGCTTTATTCTCCAATGTGTTCACTATTGTGGTACTATTGATGGCTAAAAAGACATCACCCATACTCAGCAAATACCTCATCACACTATCCGTGTCCGACATAATAATGGCCACATTCTCGATGCCCTTCTCGTACACCATATTCATGTACGGCAAGTGGCTNAAAATGTATAATTAATCATTGAATTTGATAAATAAATGTATTTATTGCTATTAATGAGAGAGATCCTGTCATGGGGTAATATGTGAGTTTGTTAGAGGGGGTGGGGTTATACCCGGGTATAGGCCCATGCTATTTTGAAGCCTACACGAGTCAGAGACCCCTCACATATAACCCCATGGGGCTAAAAGCGGGGGAATACGGTAATAATTAAAAAATATCGTCACATAATTATTGTAACCAATCAATGATATCCCAAATTACGTAATCATATATACAAACAAATAAAAGCCCAAACAAATGGCCCGATATATACAACTAAAGCCACACACCATCGCAATCGGGTGTGAACTACGAGCTGGTGATGGCGGCCAACGGGTACAGTTGTCCACACCATTATCATCACCACCACTACTACTACTCCTTAAACTTCCACTCCTGGCGGCACATCGGGCACAGTTGGTGCACGTGCTGTGAGTTCAACCACTTCATGATGCAGTGGATGTGGAAACAGTGGGAACACTGGCCCCACACCAGCGGACAGTCATCGCCGGGCATTTTGCAGTCCGTACAGCAGCCGTCAAACGCGTTGCGACAGATGCCGCAGTTGTCGTCGTTGGCGATCCAGCGCCACGTGGCCACCGATGTCCAGCCTATCCGGCAATCAATGGATCAGTTCGAGTGATAGTTCATGTGTATAGTTATGCGACACTTACTTTTGATATTCACTTTCATCGTCGGTGTTGTTGTTGTTGTGGTTGTTGTCCGGCGTTTGTCTTTGTCTTTGTTTGGAGGAGTGTTTTCTTCGCTCATTGGATCCGATGGTCTCAACCAAACCGTCACGTGATTTGTCTCCAAAACCAGTTTTGGGTATTAATTGGGTTTCGGTTTTCGGGTTATAAACCGTTTTTGTTGTTTTGATTGTAAGTAAACAACACTTTGATTACTATTGAAAATAACAATACTATTTTCGCCCCCATATAACGTTACGCCAGACGTGTGTGAACACAGTTTAGGGGCTGAGTTGTAAACATTGATTTGTATTAAACAGTACTCGCGTTATAGTGACGGGGATTATAAAGCACTGCAATTCACGTAACGTTGTATGTGTTTGAGAGCGACACTCGCAGTGGCTTTAAAAATGCAATACATTTGTGGGCAACCAATCAGAAGGCGAGTATCGCTATCGTCAGGAGAATAGCTTAACTACAAATCGCAACCGTATAACGAAGTTTTGGTACCATTGTATACAACACTAATACATACGCTATACTACTGTATAGTATAGTGGCGTTGATTAGTACTAAAGGTACCAAACGGTAGTCAAACAGTTAGGCCTAATAGGCATGCATTCAAATGGATTGCGATATTGAATAAAATGATTCAAAAAACAGTTTTCGCGTTCAAAATACCAGTGAATGCGAGAAAAGTGTTGTGAAATATAAACTGCAAATCAATTCAATGTGTGATTAAGAGTTCAAAAGATGGATTGCGATATTGAATAAAATGATTCAAAAAACAGTTTTCGCGTTCAAAATACCAGTGAATGCGAGAAAAGTGTTGTGAAATATAAACTGCAAATCAATTCAATGTGTGATTAAGAGTTCAAAAGACACCCAAAAAATCACACGTTTTTTGTGACCCAAAAAAAGAGCATTTGTTTGAAATCGTCGCTAATTTTAACCCATTTTCTGGTTTTAATTGCATTTCATTTCGCGTTTTATAAGCCATTAATCCGTTGTTTCGTTTGGTTTTAATCCCATATTGTTTTGACTGCATTTCATCGACTAATCCATTGGTTTTTGGGTTTTAAAAGGCGTTTGTGTTGTGAGTATTGATTGAATGGCTTTTATAACGCGTTTGCCATCAATGGTGTGGTCTTTGATCTTCGGTTATCTCATTAGATTAGTGTCCACTTTGGCGGCGATGTTCAAACACGGGCGCACTTTTCACACACCGGCGGCCACAGCGGCGGCCAAAAGCCGGGGCCGATCGCCGGCCGCACCGCACGTCTCGCCGTTCACGACGTCGCCCACAGACCCGCTGGCCGTCAGTCCCACGCCATCCGATCTGCCGGACGGCGTCTGTTATATCCGTCAGACGCCGAACAGTATCTACCGTCCGGTCACTCATCGGTCGGCGACTGTCGTGAAAAAGCGCGACCCATCGCCCGGCAAAAGCCTCCGATTCGCCGAACCCCTCGTGTCGGCCACCAGACGGGCGGACCCGACGCGGGCCAAGTCGTCCGAACGCATCGACAGGCCGTGTCGGTCGCGACAGCATCTCAATCGGCCGCTCATCAAACCCACCGACACTCCCGATGGCGGCAATGATTGCGCCCACAAAACGGTCGTCAAGAGTCCGGCCACTAGTCAAACGTCACCAATATTCGCGTCCAGTGATGTCTTCGGTGGCGATTGTAACGCATCGGCGGTTAAACCCCTTAACAATTGCGTTCGTTCGAAGAGTGTGTCCCGCGAGTCGACCCCCGATTCCGGCCGATCCGCGTCACCGCCCGAACCCAAGACTTTGGTGAAGACCGCTATTAACGTACCGAACAAAACAGTCCATAAGTATGACCTCTTCATTACCTCCCAATCTATTGGTGTGTTTATGAATGTGTTGTTTAAGCAGATCATCGGTACTGACGCCGACCGACGGCTCACACATTCACCGAAAGACGCTAACGATTCCGTTGCAAACACTGGACCGAAAGGGAGACCCGAATCGTCTGTCTGTTAACGTGAACGTCGCGGTCGGCCTCCAGTGCGATGACGAGAAAGTGCGGCACTCTTTGGCTAAAAAGGCTTTCGAGCAACAGATGGGTCACCACATGATCTCATCGATGTCTGACGACTCGGGCTCAGACACGTCATCAGTGGTGAGACACGAAACCAGTGACGAAGTGGACTACAATGTGGCGCAATCGGTGAGCGGATCCGCTATTCAAGTGGCCATACGTTTGCGTCCGTTCCTGAAGAACGATCGCTCGGATGAGCCGGTGATCGAGATGTCCGGCAATACCGTCCGTATTATCAATTCGGATAACGATAAATACAATCGACTGGAATTTGGCTTTGATTACACACTGAACTCGTCGGACAGGGATCTGTTCGACTTCGCCGATCAGGACAAGGTGTTCGTCGAAATGGGCCGACCATTGCTGGAGCGGGCGATCGAGGGCTACAACGTATGTATGTTTGCTTACGGCCAGACCGGGAGCGGCAAGAGTTTCACAATGACGGGCACGGAATCCAATTTGGGTGTCATTCCTCGCTTTGTGCGCGAACTCTTCAAACGCATCCAAACCCTATCCGACACTGTATTCTCTGTTGACGTCAGTTATTGCGAGATCTATAACGAGAAGATCTACGACCTCTTGTCCGACGATAAGCTCATCAATAAGAAGACACTTCGCATCCGAGAGCACCCGCAGTCGGGCCCATACGTGGAGCACTTGTCCCAGCATTCGGTCACTACATATAGCGAAGCGATGGATCTCTTAACGAGAGGGACCAGACGTCGGGCCACGGCTTCTACGGCTGCCAACGAACAGAGCAGTCGTTCCCACTCTATATTCACTATAGTATTGTCACAATTGCGAAGTACGGGAGACATCGAGGGTCTGGATCACGACGTGAGCTCGTGTTGCGGGTCGCGCATCAATCTGATTGATTTGGCCGGCAGTGAACGCGTCGGTATCGCCGGCACAAGCGGTGAAAGGCTCAAAGAGGGTTCGCTTATCAACACATCACTACTTAATTTGGGAAAAGTGATCACAAAGTTGTCCCAATTGGGCCGAAATCGGCATAAAGTGGCGCACATTCCGTATAGGGATTCAATACTGACATACCTTCTGAAGGACAGTTTGGGCGGCAATTCGCGCACATCAATGATCGCAACCATAAGTCCCGCTAAATGTCATTTGGAGGAGACGTTGAGTACATTGAGATACGCGGCCTGTGCTCGAGAAATAGTCAATTACGTGCACATCAATGAAGATCCCAAGAATCGCAGAATTCGAGAGCTCATGGAAGAGATCGAGTATCTCAAGAGTCAGCGCGCGAATGGACAGCTCGTACCGCACGTCACACTCCGTGGTAAGCCGTCTGACCAAAGCGTGGAGAGCGTCGAAAGCGTTGAGCCCAAAGTGATCCCGACCTACAGTATTGGGACCAACACTTCGTTTGTCGAGAGCCGTCGTATGAGTACGAAAGGCACCGAGACTTCGGTCACCCGAACCCAGACCTGCAGTATAGCCACCAATACTTCGTTCGTTAAACTGCCGAAA